CCCCCCCCCCAACACACACACAAACACACAACCGAAAAAATGAAACCAGACGTTTTAAACTATGACTAACGTGAAAGCCAAACATGAAACAAACTTTTTGTTTGTGACCACTGAAGTCTTTTCAAATTTCAAACACTAAATTTAGCCAGCAGGTGGCGCTGCAGCACTGAATATAAAGCTGGAATGTCTTTCATCGCAGTCAGAATGACACTCAAACCTTTGTTTATTTTTTATTTTGTCAAACATCTTCATTGAAGCATTCATTTTACAAATAAGAAATACTCGAAACACTTTAAAGAGTCAACGTGAGGCAGACTACTGCAGACAGGCTGTGGGTCAAACTGAGCCCTCTTTCCCCATAAGCAGGGTCACAGTTTCAGTTTCAATCATGCCGAGTAAAATGATGCTGTTCCAGAAAGCGAGCACATTTCGACCCATGTCTGTGCCACATTTACTAATACACAGTCTTCCATTGGGGATTATCAGAAACAGAGAAGCACAGACCCGAAACATCCAACATATCGTCAGTTACTATACAGATAAGTCACTAATCAAGAAAAGTACACAGCAGGCATCGAGTGGGTCTGTGAAGCTGCTCTGCAATCGTGACAAAGTATCTTTTTCATGTATTTCACTTAAATGCATGCATCACACGAGTTTGGTGCAGGATTTCTGGACACCTTTGCAGACTGGTCACGGTTCTGAAAGCTGAACTGAGGCGTTCCACCTGTGTGCACTCCTCCTCACTGAGTGTTAGACTGTGACAGAATATATCTGCAATGAGCCACGCTCACAGTGTAATTTCATACTGTTAAAAAAAAAGGCATATTTTTCTGAATTTCTCAGAAGTGAGTGCAGCCCGTAAAGGACAGGAAATTGTGGATTAGTGAGACTGTGAGTGTGGAGCCACCTGAAGCCGGAGACCAGCTGGTGCAAAATCATTTTTCCTGTGCCCAAAAGATGTGACAATGAAGCAAAGACTTTTCTTTTTACTTTCCACTACTCTAACGCTGTCGTTTAGGAACATTTTCAGGTTTATCTCTTCAGGTTTTCATAATTTTAAAGCCCAGTTTTAAAGACCTTGGTCCATTTGATGTAACTTCCTGCTGCTGCACACTCTCATTTCTGTCTCCTCCTTTGCCACGGTGTGTGTGGTTAGAAATTTCTGCTCTTAATATTAGCAATTAATCACATTACTGCCAGATGAGGGATAGTCAGAATTCAGGGATACATGAAGGGTTGTATGCTTCTTATAATGCAGCTTGTATTTTTTCCTAATCAGTCCAAATGACTTTGCACCAGCCCACTGTTTATGTTTCCTTCCAATGAATTTTTCACCGTTGCGGCGCTCCAAGGGCCGGTAAAACTGGCAGGACCGCAGCATGGTTAACGGGCATCTAGTTTATTAATAGCGTGGCTGTTTGGATTATTTTAGGAGTTACGTGTATTGGCTGCAACATTCACTGCCATTCAGCTTGCCAACTGAAGCGTGGCTACCCACGCGATGATTACCCCTGCTGTGGTGCTTCAGTCTGAATGCACTTCACTGGCGCAAGAGGAAGTGTTTATACACAAGTTTCCTGGGCTAATTAATTAATAGAGATTTTTCTGTGTGGCTCAGGATCGGCAGTTGTCCGAGATCTCTGATTCGCTGGTTATGATGTGGACATCATAGCTTATGTCTTATTTAAGTGTGAACTTCTCCACCCACAGCTTTACAAGAGGAAAATTATATCTTGAGCGATCTGATAAAAGCTAAAAGAAAGCAAACTCAAGGCCTCTGGTATTTAATGTGAAATGTTTTGTTAATGGCCTTTTTAACTTTTGATACTAATAACAGATTTTGTTGCTAGGGGACAAAACCTTTCTATCTTTTTTCTTCACATTTAATTTGTTGACTCCTCTAACAATTAAAAAAAAATAAGTTTGCTTGAATTTAGGGAGAATATTTGGCTTGATTTGAAAGATTCTGCTTATCCAAATAATAAAAGAGGGATTTTGGAAGTGATTGGACTGTAGTGTCTGGTTGGACACAAAAGCAGCTGCACCTGCAGCAGATGTACATGAACACCACCATTGCTCAGGTGGAGCAGCACTTCTCTCCACCTGATGAATGCCAGTCAGTCTCTATTTCCTCTGTTGAGGAAACTGTGTTGGGTTAAATGCACACGAGCACAGACTCTGTCGTTTGCTGTGAGAGTGAGCTGTTAAGCAAAATGGGATAATAATTCAGTGTGGGTTCGACACTGGGCAACCTTTTATAATTGCACAGCCATTTATGCTGTCAGTACCACCAAAATACTGATTAATGAAACTAATGTTGATTTGTTATTTTAGTCTTCAGGAAGCAGGTTTGCATTTTTTACCCCTGGTTATATGAGAACCTCATTCCTGGGAATTTATAGCCAGTTAACTGTAATAAAAATGTAAATGTTCAGTAAAAGTGAAGTATTAGTTCACATGTTGCCTTTCCAACAGAGAAGGTGATTTCATAAAGTCAAGGTTCATCACAACTTGAACAGCATCATCGTTTCCCCTGCGGCGTGAAATTAAACAGACATGCATATTATAGCTGCCGGGAGAAGCAATTACATTTTCCCCACAGTGGTTCTGAAGACATGAATTAAGTGCCGCTAGAATTAGAAATCAAATTAAGGTCCAGATCCCTGCAGGCTCAGAGGTGGCATGTGGTCAACAGTCGGATGGATATGGAGTCTGCACATTTCTACAGCTACGTCAGTTTGTTCCCGTCGCGCTCTGCTCCTCCTGCGGCTGATATTTGGGCGAGAAACACCAAACTTTAAAAAAAAAAAGACTAATTTTGACACAAAACACACAAATTTCATATCAATTTACATGCCTCTATAGACAAAGAAAGTAAAGACACTTTACAAGCAGAAACACCTTGGACGAGGGTAACAAATGCACTTGGAGGAATATTTTGCTCAAAAAAATGAAAAATTCAGTGATTATCTACCACAGCTTTATGTCTACAGCTCAGACTGAAGTGTGCATGCTGTTTGAATTTTCATTTTGCTCAATGTAATGGAATTAAGTACATCGTTTCGCAGTTTAACCCTTCCTTTATAATTCTGCAGTACATTACACAGGACGTTTACTGCACATTTATCAAAACATGCTTACAAGTTTCTCTTCAGAGCAAGATCTTATGTTCAAAATGCAATCAAATATAAAGACTTTACAAGGACAATGTACTGTGGTACGCACCGGCCAACTGTCAACATTAAATAATCATATAACACTTTAACTAAAGTCGCCTCATTTAATCACTTAATCTAGCAATGTAGTTGGCAAGTAACATATGTGTTTATTTGTCAACAACTTAAAGTCATCAAGCGGCAACGAGCAGTAGCCTCGTCTAAAAAAAGAAGCTAACAAAGCCAAATCTATGAGCCACTTGGGCCTGACAACGGAAACAACTCAGTTTCAGTGCAGCAGAAATACGCAGGTGTAGAGTTAGGTTCAGTTTTTTATCTTTGTCTTTATAGCGAGAAGTGAAACTGTCTTTTGGGGCATTTTCATTGCTGCTGTCTAAAAAATAACTTGCTGTGTTTATTGCACCGCCTTGGATTCAGTGTTTGTGAGTGACTTTCTAACAGCTGGCATTAATTATCAGATATCTGTGACCGCACATGCAGCTCGCTAACCTATCTTTGTTGCCTAACTTAGAAGTTAGCTTGCTAGCATTCCACCTTAGCAGTCCACCATATTGTCCCAATATCCATCCAATCATATAATAATCATTAACAGTATATCACAGAGCATTTCTGAATCCCACTCTGTTTTTGAGCTGTATAAAAGACATGGACGCTAACTGATGAGCCAACACAGGAGTGAGTGGGTGATAACCACTGAACTTTCATTAAAGAGTTAAATATTCACATCTGCCAACATCATATCCTGGGAAGCCACTGGCTGAACATTGATTTTGTTGTAAGCGCTGCACTCAGTCCGGGTCGCTGTGACTTTGTGAAGGAATTCATATGAAGCAGAAAGACAGCCACAAAGCAGCATTCATTTGGAGTACAGCTCCCCAGTACTTTCTGTGAAATCTGAGACTTTTCCATCTTGTATGAATTCCTCCAGAAATGTTCGGTGCCTAGTCAAGGTGCTGCAGCTAGGGTTTCTTGTCTGCATATGATTGGCTGGTGGCAGTATTGGTGGTGGCGGCAGCAGGAAAATCTGGGTATACCAGGAAGCCGGTAAAAGTGATGTACTTGGCGTGGTTGCTGTAGGCACCGAATCCATCTCTCTGGTGGGAGTAGAGCCAGACTGTGTCCCCTGGTTTAAGTGACAGCATCAAACTCTGGCTTTGCAGAGCTTTCTCACCTTGGCTATCGTCATAGATCATCGCTTGCACTTCCAGGCGGTTCTTCATCAGTTTGACGGACAGTGTCTTCTGTGGCATTTTGCCCACGTTGAAGGAGAAATAGTACGCCCCGGGAATGCGGCAGGTGAACACTCCCTCTGTCACGTTGAAGTCTTCCCCTATGTTAACAAATGCAGTGTCGAAGCTCACCGGCTGGTGTTGCGGCATGCCCAGTTGGTTCACGCCCACAATGCTTTGGGTGCGCCCCACCGAGAAAGCAGATCTCTGGTCATCCTCTTCGTCCTCCTCCTCCTCTTCTTCCTCTTTTATTTGCGGCTCCTTCTCCCCATCCGTCATTCCGGGTCTGACATGATCCGTGGCCTGGTTGTCGCTCGGCACTGGGATGTTGTCTTGCAGTGGCTGCTCGGAGTCGGCGTGCTGCTGGTGGTGATGGTGGTGCGTTTGGTAGCCGTAGACATCGGGGTACACAAGGTAACCATTGAAGGTGGTGTAGTGTCCAGTGTTGCTGTACAGCGCGTAGCGAGGGTCGCCATGGAGACGGAGCCAGACAGTGTCCCCGAACTCCAGCTGCAGCATGACACTCTGGCTCTGCACCTGAGGAATGAAGCAGACTGTTATGCCGGTGTAGTCATACCGAGGCCTGTTTCACATCAACAACAAACACATGATCCTGTCACACAGCCTTTCATTGGACGAAATAATCCGCTCTGATCTGATCTCATTCCCATCCCCACACAAACACACCCTCTGTGAGTGCTACCACAACCTCTGACATCATAAAAGAGCGCTGTAAATATGGGAAGAAAAAACACACATCGAGAGAGATTGATTCAATCAATTATAAGATGTCTCTATAAAGTGCCGGGGCCTGTTTAAAGGTTATTGAAGTTCCATATTTTGGGAAATCTGGTAGCTTGATTAGATTAGAAGCTTTTGCATTTTTTAAATGTGCATGAAATGCAATGATCTGCTGGGAAACCTCTGGGTCTGACATTCATGTGCATGCCACTGGAATATACCAGAAGGTGTGCATGGCTTCACCCAGTAGGAGAGCGTGCCCTCAGGACAGCTGAGGCACATGAAACAGAGCCAGAGACCCTGACCCAGTCTTCTTGATTCTGACTGAGCACTAAAAAACACAACAGATTCATGCTGGGGGATCTTAGCCCAGGACACCTTCAGTACAGTTCTCAGTGTCAGGAATTTCACTTCACAAAGCAAAGTCCCAAAGTCCCAGTGCCTGACAGATCTGCACTCGGAGCTTCTTTAACCGTGTCCTGCTGGGCCAGCTGTGTGTATAAGCACAATGTAAGGTAGATTATTTAATGTTGTGGCCAGTCAAAGTACTAACTGTGGAGCTGGAGCTCACTTCCATAAAAACCTGAAGCAGGCTCCAAAGTTAAAAAACAGTCACTTTATTATAATAAGCAGAGGTGTATTAGGGCTTGATGCATTTCTGCTCAGTCACTGACAAGAGAGATACCGGGGTGTTTATTACCCACTTTGACAAGGGAATAAAAGTTTAGGTCAGTCTCATCCTCCAAGTGTAGTAATCCTAACCAGTAATACCTGCTGAACATGTAAAGCACTACTGGATTATAAGATTTGGCCGCTAGCAGCTTTCTGTACATAAAAACATAAATAAGATTGAAGCTCTGAAGCGTACCTTCCTCTCCTCCCCTGCATTTTCTTCATACACAATGGCCTGCACCTCATTCCTGTTTTTCATCAGCATCACAGACAGGTCCTTATGTGGAAACTTTCCCACGGTGAAGGAAAAGTAGTAGGCTCCAGGGATACGACAGCGGAACAGACCAGACTTGGCATCAAAGTCCCCACCGATGTTGACGTAAACAGCGTCAAAGGTCACCGTCATCTTCGGTCCACCTTCCATGCTGCTGGTGCGAGCGACCGAGAAAGCTGAGCGCAGCTCTACATCATCAAGCAGACGGGCGAAACCCCACGCACTGCCCATGTGACTCAGGCACAGCAGACCAATCAACAGGCCGGCTGGGAGCAGCATCTTATCTGTAGACAGAAAGAAAGAAGGGACACGTTTACCTCAAATACAGGTTTGCAAAGTTTCAGTCACACATCTCAGAGTTTCAGTCCTGGCTGCGGTTTTTGTGACAGTCTATCATCACTTGGCAAACAGCAGTGTATAATCAATACGTGACAGGGAAGTTAGGATATGGAATTTCCCTTGCTGCCATGGAGTAAGAACTCCATGATTCCGAGTGGGATTTAATAAATAACCCTGTTGTGTTCAATCTGCTTAAACAGCACATCAGCTCCAGCTGCCTGAAGCCTTGTGTTCATTTATCTTGCTGCTTAGTGGCTGGAACATTTGTAACGGTTGTTTCATTAATTTCCACAGCATCGTATTCGTCCCCTTCACATGATTTGATACACCAATGCTCATAGTGAACTAGCACATGGAGATAAATGGAGATAAACCAGAACCCATTTCTGTGGAGAAGAGTTGGACTAGTTGTTTTCTGTAGATGGTTTCTTAATCATCACCATGGCAACACAGTAACGTGGTGGCTAACACCACTGCCTCACACCTGAAAGTGTTTGCCTCGTACCTGTGTGAGTTCTCTCTCCATCCCTCATCTCAGAGACACGTAGTTGGTAGGATTTAGATAATTGGTGATCCTAAACTGCCCAAAGATGTGAATACACACACACACACACACACACACACACACACACACACACACACACACACACACACACACACCTGTAAATGGATGGATGCTGCTTACGTGCTGTCGCAGCCTTGCTTTGCTGCTGTCACTGCCCTTGAGGCAGTCACTGACCTCCTGGATGTACCTGAGCTGCTCTCACTGAGTCAGTGTTGTCGGCACACTTGAACCAGCAGAAACTTCCTGAAATTTAGCACCAACTCAAAACATCACCTGACAAAAATGTCCATCGTAGAGAATTATGGACAATAATAAATAACTGAGCTTCAACTGTTAAGCAAAGGCCATTTACTGCATATGAAAGATGACATTGCTCCATCAAGCTGAGCTTTTTATCCACTGCCATCTAGATTAGTTTTAAAAACCAAGCCGAATTTTTGGCCTGTCTCAGAAGCTGAGGAACACTTCACTCTCATATGGTAGCAACTCGTCTGTCACAGCACGACTGCCTGACACAAGCTCTGAATCACACCCTGTGTTTTTATCCTTTATAATTTACAAAATAAATATAATCTTGCCTTCAGTAACACTGTTACTGTAATAAGTGGACAAACCTGGAGAAGCCAAAGCATCACTTTCTTGTCGACTTCATTACAATCAGGTTTTCTTCTGCAGTCAGAGAAGCTGCCCCTTCCTGGTCATGACAGACCGTGCAGTCATTTCAGTCACATCTGTCATTTGCACAGTGGAGGCACATATTTGTATCAACATTAGAACCACACTGGACAAACCCGACCCCCATACAGTGGAGCAACTACACATTTGCACATCAAAAACGACAACAAAAAAAGCTTTTCAATGAAAGAAAAACACGCAGTCCCAGAGCAGGGTTTGAATCACTCAAGCAGTTCGTGCTCTGTAAAGGAGGTATTGTGTTCTTTATTAGCAGCGACAAGCGCTTTCATTGTCTTATTGTCTTCCCCCAGTGAACCAACAGGAAGTAGACACACACACACACACAGGTGGAGCTGCAGGGCTCTGAAAGCTTGTCAGAACAAAAGGACGAGGCTTAACATGTAAGGAGCAGAGACTAGGGGGAGTGGTCTCCATGTTCAGCACAGCGAATACATGATCACCACCTTAGTTTTACATTTCGACTTATTACATATAACAACCATCCACTTACAAAACAAACAATGCAGAACGTTAGAGAATATGAAGAAAATTAGATGCAGTTGTGTCAACAATATGCTTCAGTATTTCACACAATCAGAAGAATCTGAGCTCTAATTCAAATTGTGAGCAGACGGTGGAGTTTGATGACAAGTGACAGTGAGGTATCTGAAGGTTTATATAGTCATAAACCCTGTCACACACTTTCCCCCCCAAAATCAATACTTGAGTCACCTGATGCTGTTACTGGGTCTCTGTACTGTAGCTGTGAATGCTCTCATAGCGAGGGTGCTGCTTTGCTCTTATGGTTCTGGTGTTATACTCCCTCCCAGGCCCTCACGTAGGTACCATTCATTTATTTTAAACACTATAGCTGATAAAAAAATAAAACAATAAACATGAAACTCATTAAATGAAACATTTAGAGATAAGTGGTTAATCCATACTGTCAGATTCATTTTTTACACTGTGACATATCTCAGTTATTGTTTTATTTTGCAAATGTTGACAGATTATATAAGTGCAGGATGTGGAGCTGGTTAGTTTGCAGCATTGTTGTAAAGTTTCCTCTAGATTTGGCTGTGGTTTCCATGGTAACTGTTAGGTTAGGTCAAGGTCAGTTTGAACTGGAGTGACTGACGGTCCTGCTCCATGAAGAAATTGAGTGCAGTGTATCTTACAAGACAAATTAAAAGTGAGTAACATTTCCTGACCACACTGCAGGTTTCTCCCGTCTCACAGGTTATTTTTGGAGAAGAAGGCACTCTGGACTTCTGGATGCTGCTTATTTTATTAAACCAAATGTCTGCATATTTTTATATCATATTTTATGATGAATCTTTTACTGGTGACCTGACAAGGCTAATCTGCCTACCAACCCAGACGACAGCATTGCACATATGTTCAGCATCACAACTGCAGAAAGCTGGCATGCTGTGGAAAATACAAATAGAAACAGAATGCAAAGATTTTATTTACAGTAGAACACAGACAGCAAATCAAATGTTTCAATTGAGAAAATGTACCATTTCAGTTAGAAAATAGGTGCTTTTGATTTTGTTGACAGCAACACATCTGAAGCTGGGCCATGTTTACGAACGTGTAGCATCCCTTCTACTGACGACAGTCCGTAAACATCTGGGAAAATCAGGGATACCGGCTGCTTTTGGGAGACGAATGTCGACTCGTTCTTTTCTGATTCTTGCCTGGATCTTCTTTGCCGTGTCTTTCATTTCATAATGCTCCAAATATTTTTTATTGGTGAATGGTCTGGGCTGCAGGCAGCTCAGTTACCCCGCCATGCTGTTGTAAAAATTGCAGTGTGCAGTTTTTGTCTTTGTCCTGCTGACATAGACAAGGCTGTATGTACCTTTAGCATTGATGCTGCCTCTCCAGATCCAGTTCCACAGGCACTAACACACCTGATTATCATCACAGATGAAGGCTGCTGAACTTGTACTGATTATAAACTGTCCATCTCCTCTTCAGTCCAGATAACGCAAAATAATAAAAAAGTGTGTGACCACAGAACAGTTTTCCACTTTGCTCCAGTCAGCTTACAGTTTGGCGCAGAGACGACAGCAGTGTTTCAGCAGTGCTCACACATGCATGATGCAGATTTGTGGGCAAACATAGACAGTGATTTCTAGAAGTGTTCCTGAGCCCATGCAGAGATTTCCATGACAGAATCCCTTTAGTACAGTTCCACCCGAGGGCCAGACTATCATTCTTAGAGTCTCATACACTTTTGGTCACATTATATTCCATTGCATTATGTTTTAATTTACACTCTTACACAGTGTTCTTGTTCTTTTGGAAATGGTTTTATGAACTGCATGTTTTTACTTGGGTTAAATGCACAAGCTTAGACGCACAGACTAACATTCACTGTCAAACCAAACACAGTAAACACACCATTACTTTGTGCAACACTTTTGCAGTAGTGTAACAGGTTTGCATGCCTAACTGGTGAGAAAAGTGGAAACTATAAGACTTAAAACAGGTTCATACATACAGGCTGCATGTACACAGCACACACACTGACTGGGGATAACGTTTTGACTCCTTAAACTTGTCCAGTTTTCTAACACATTAACTTTGAGGACACAAAGGTCACGTCCTCCCCAACAGAAGGGAACAGAATGAAGAGATAATCAGTGTTATTCACTTCACATGCATGAAATCATGATGTTATGGCTGATCGGTGTATATAACTTACATGAAGCAGGAAATAGGTCCGTATATTTTGTTCTGTTGGGATTTTTACTGGCTGTTATTGATTAGAATTTGTTCTCATGACAAACCGGCATTGTGGCGTCTTACCTCATCTAATGTGCAAAGTGTTGTATATTATATGGTTCTCTATAACTTGTAATCTTTGAAAGTTATTTACTGGTGAAACTAAATGTTCTTCTTGTATGGCTATACTAAATCGACCTCTTTAAATGGAAACTAATTATAGTGGTTAATTGTACTTAAGGCACCGAGGCACAACTGATCACTTCTGTGTGATTACTCGTCCCATTGCAGCAGAGAGAGAAATCCTTTCTGAGAAAGCAAATAGTGCTGCAGATATCATAATTTTCCTTTATGAATGATAACAGTCTTAAAAAAGCAGATGATGCAGTAGTTAGTCTTGTTCACATAATGGCACCTTACATTAAAAAAATAGTGTTTGTCTATGTAATGGCAGCAGTTTTAACTAGTCATGTAGATTCTCCGCAGAGAGACGCTTCGGGTTCAAACAGTAATAAAAGAACAGATCAAACAAACTTCCTCCATAATGAGCACCCATGGGAGTAAAGCACAGAGTGAAGCAACAGAACGGGATGGAGCTGAGTAAGTCCATTCAAGAATAAAGAGTACATGGTGATACTTTTTCAAAAAATGTAACTAATGAGCCTCTTTCTAGTGCCCTGCACAGTTCTATAGTTAAAATGCACCTCAGGTGCATATTTCTCTTTGGCTGACTTTCTTGAAGTTTAGTGTTAACATTATTATGCGCGGAGCATTGTGATTCTGTGGTTACAATTATCTGATTGTACAAGCTTTTTTAGTATGCATAACACAACAATATCTGTTACACACTGAGTGTGTTTGACTATGTGCTGCTCAGTGTGTGCTGCAGTGAATATTCTTCATTTTAACCAGAAACAAACAGAAAAACACTAAATGGCTATGCTAGCTGTACTGAGGTGTAGCTAACAA